AACGCGATGGCTGTTCAAACTCCTCGAAACTCTGAATTTAGAAGCAATATGTATGATGTCCTTGTTTTGTCTGACGGAATATGTAATAAATGTTATTCCTAACAAATTCGAACATATATATCTGTATTTAGCTCGACTGTTAAAATATTTTTCAGTTTTAAAAATACAACAAACAGTAGTTTAAACTTTGCAGTGCCGACCTCAAATCTCAAAGGCAGAGGAAGCCTCGAAATGAACAGTAAAATCAGCAATGAAATTGCACTCGTATAACGAGATTTTATATATATATATATATATATATATATATATATATATATATATATTATATATATATATATATATATATGTGTGTGTGTGTGTGTGTGTGTGTGTGTGTGTGTGTGTGTGTGTGTGTGTGTGTGTGTGTGTGTGTGTGTGTGTGTGTGTGTGTGTGTGTGTAATACAAATAAGGATGTAAATATATATATATATATATATATATTATATATATATATATATATATATATATATATATATATATATATATAGGTATTTGTGTGTGTGACAACAGACAGAAAATATTTTTTCACATTAAATAAAAATCAAATGGTGCCTTTCGTAAGTTCTTTTGTTGACTTTTATAATCTAAACATACGGTTATCCACACATCACGAATAGTTTTACTTACTGAAAATAAAAACACGTTTACTATTTCATTCATTACGTTGTAGGTAGCAAGCATTGATGCTGTTGCTGCTGCTGTTGTTGTTTTGTTTTTTTTTTTTTTCAGAGACAGCTGTTGCAGATAAAAGTCAGCCTTTGTTCTCGTATTGTAATCTGAATGGTTGTGACAATCTGTTATAATATCCTCATTCGGATTCCCTTCCTGTTGTAGATAATTGTAGAATTATTTCAATCAGTTCAGTCATCGTTGCAGACCTACGTGTCTCCCTCACGGAATACTGCTTACTGCACATGTATAGCCAGATAAAAGTCGTTGCCTCCAGACTCGTGGTGTGCCAGTTGGACATGCCCGCAACTGTGCGTACGCCGCTTCATGTTGTACCCGAATCGAACGCCTTATACGTAAGTGTTTTACAAAGGTGTCCTTTACAATAAACCTCTGGTCACACTCCGTGTATAACTTCAAAGTTCCAATAAGAAACAAGCCTTTGCCTAACAAAAATCAAGCGTCTGTGGAAACGTTCTCCTGAACTATAAAATCCTCGCATAGAAGTAACTGACGAGGAAAGTTCTGCGTCGACACTCATTAGTCAAACAGACTAATGGGCGTCGCTTTCCTCGTCAGTTCCTTCTCGACACCGACCCGGTCCAGATCACGAGAAAATCGCCGAGGGAGTTTCTCTGGAACCCCGGGCGCAGGCAAGGTCTACAGAAGTCCTTAGACAGACCTTGGGCGCAGAGGAGGGTCGGCGCGGGCTGGCACGGCGCGGCGGAGGCCAGGGCGTCTTTCTTTCTTTCTTTCTCTTCTTACAATAGGAATTCAAGATCAGGGGCAAGTTAAGCAGGGGCGGCTGGAACTTCCCTGAGACTGAGAAGCGGTTTGGTTAGATTTCGGACCTGGGATTGCTGTTCGTGTTAGCAGAATGGTTGTCATTAGTACTATATTATCAGATCAATGATATATATATATATATATATATATATATATATATATATATATATATATATATATTATATATATATATAAAAATGTATATGTATATACATAGGAATATACCTATATCTATCTATATAGATATGTATGTATACATACATATACATATATACATATATATATATATATATATATATAATATATATATATATATGTGTGTGTGTGTGTGTGTGTGTGTGTGTGTGTGTGTGTGTGTGTATACATATATATATATGCGTGTGTTGTGTGTGTGTGTGTGTATGTGTGTGTGTGTGTGTGTGTGTGTGTGTGTGTGTGTGTGTGTGTGTGTGTGTGTGTACATATATATATACATATCCATGTATATGAATATAAGGCTGCAAGAACGGAATATATAGATATAAACACGCGCGCACACACACACACACACACACACACACACACACACACACACACACACACACACACACACACACACACACCACACACACACACATACACGCACATACACGCACATACACATACACATACACACACACACACACACACACACACACACACACACACACACACACACACACACACACACACACACACACACACACACACACATAGAGAGAGAGAGAGAGAAAGAGATAAAAGAAATTGATACACACCCCAAAAATATGATTAAGAATAAAAAACGTAGCTGATATAGACGAAGAATAAAGTAAATGGAAAACGAAAAAAGAAAGAAAAAACTCTGAGAGAGAGAAAGCGCCAGATAAAAGCAGCAAATAAACCGAGGAGACGAAGAGGTACCAAGAGACAAAATAACGAACGTTTGAGCCGGTGTTATCTGGCGTCCTTTGTCCGTTACGAGGGCAGGAACGGCAGAGGACGGCG